CCATCAAAAATAGAAAGGTACCAAGTAGCCCTGCTGGTGTCGCACAGACGCTGCTCTGTCATTCAATGAATGTCAGTGTGGTGATGGATAGCGTTCACATCACAGAGGGGACGGTGGGGCTAATAACATTAGCCGCCTAAACTGGTTATCTTTTGTCTTGTCTTGCAGCTGTGAGAGGATATTACGAACTATTTTTACTTCCTCGGACTGTTGATATTGCATCTATTAAATTACAGTACTGTCAAAAATGGAGCCCAAATGCTAGGACCCGGTTCAGGGGTCTCCTGGGTGGTGTGTGTGTGGCATACTGTTGATGTAGCAGTTTAATAAAGCACGTTTTTTTAGAATGAAGTTCTAAATCTACTACAAAGAACCGTGAACACTTTGTGTCAAACTCAAGGCCCGGGGGGCCAAATGCGGCCCGCCAAGCCGCGTTGTGTGGTCCGCGGGAGCTTAAAACGCATTTGGTAAAGTCCATGCTGCAGAGTGTATCAACCTATGAAATTAAAAGTTGTTTTTTTTTTATTATTATTACACAGCAATGAACAACATTTGTAGCTTGAATAAATAATAATCAACTGCAGAAGCATGTATTAGTAAATAAAAAAAATATAAAAAAAAAGTAAATTGATATGACTGGATTTTTTTTTAATAAAGTAAATGAGTAAAAATTAAGTAATTTTTTTTTAATTTATTTATTTATTTTTTGCCCACTGCGGCCCAGTATCAACTGACCTATGGACTGGAACTGGTCCACAGACCAGAGTTTCATTATACAAACAAGCGCACTAACCACATTGTCCACTATGTGGCCTACAGGAGCTTCAGTCAAACTGATAACTGAATAACATTGCCTAAATCAATGTTGCCCAACCTCCGGTCCGGGGACAGGTGTCGGTCCATGGGTGTCCAGGCCTACAGTAGCATATTCTCAATGATAATTTGTATTATTTTCAATAGCTTTCATGAACCTAGGAGATTCAGTCCTTTCGTACGATCACTGATGATGAGGTCTTCGTTTTATATTCTTAGCCTTACTTCACTGTGTCTCAACCAAGGCTCTTTTACTCACAAAGTTTCCATCAGGGCTCCTCCATTGTGAATATTGCAGTAAGATGCTTCTAGTTTTTTGTTTTTTTTTCTCATTATCATATCTCTACTCGTTCGACTTCACTATTCACTTAAGAGTTTTTCATCAGCTGCTGCTTCCCATTAGCCTGTCATTAAAATGCAAACATATAGACCTTCAGGCAGCAAGAGTAAATGATCAGTCAGAACAAAGGCTTTCTTTAATCTACAAAATACTACATATACTTTATACTATACATTAAAGACCTGTTAAACACCTGCTTTTAAGATTAGATACAGGATGAAAGTGTCTCCGCAACAGGAGCCTGTTGTGACAAGCGTTTATAAAAAAGAGGAAAAAAAAAAAAAAGGATTTGTTGAATAGAAGGAATGTATTTCTGGCTGGTGCAGACCTGATTAAAACGTCACAAAAACACAGATATGTCTGTACACTCGGGTAGAAAAAAAAATACAGAAATATGGGCTTTAGTAGTCAACAAGAGTTTTCTCAATGCAGTACACATCTTATTTACACGCAATCAAGCCCATTGAATCGCACCTACATTCGATTCAACTACCTTTTAAACCAAATTCCGACTGATCTGGCACAAAGTTATCTTAATCCTGTACAAGTTAATCTATGTTTTTGGACTTTGAAAGCGAGCTGTAATCCCAAAAGAAAATGTCACGATCCGAAGCCATGAATGTTGACCTCGTGGTTAAATCATGGCCTAAAATTGTTGCGGTGAGCAATAATTGTGTTGCGGAGGATGAGGAGCATTCGAATGTTTTGCTAGCAACAGAGATGGAGGATGAGGAGCATTCAAATGTTTTGCTAGCAACAGAGAAACCATGATGACTTAGCAAATTTTCATGAACCGAAATAGACATTATTAAAGTCTATATTTTTTTTAAAAAGTATCAGTTCAGAATGAGAACTGAAGTCATGGCTTCATTTTCTTCTATTTTTTTACATCGTTATCAAACATATGAATTTAATTAGTAATTTTTCAGCCACTTTGACGTGGCGTCCATTATGTTTTCGAGGGTATTTTTGTTTTAATCTGTTAAATTAACATGCATTCAGAAAAATCTGGATGCATTGCGATAGCTTTAATTTTTGTTTTGTTATTTTACTAAAATGCATTATTTATTAAAGAAATACGAATAACGAAGCCTGATTTATTAAAGAAATAATTTTTGTCACGGTGTACGAATCTTTACACAAATAACGAAGCCTGCATTTCTCTCTCGACTTTGGAGCGATGTCTTTCCTTCAAAGCCCTGTCCCTCCCTGTGTCCCTCTAAGTTTTGTCTGATATCAAAATTGTTCATTTGGGGATTTCGGGAAATCTTGAAGAAAAATGTCTTGAAATAATAATAATACATTTTGTTGTGTCTTATTATATTGTAGATTTAAATCCCGTATTAATAATTGGATTCTTTGTGTCTCCTTCTTGTTGGTTTGTTTGTTTGTTTGCTTGTTTGTGTGTGTGTTAATTAAAATGCTCACAGCTATTCCAATGCGCTGTATCAAATAGTTGGCCAGCAGCCCTATTGTGATCCACATGCCGCCTGTAAACTGCTCGTCAGTTGTCCCATATCTTCTTTTACGACGCCGCCGCCGGTCGGCGCCGTTTAAATATTCAACAAAAACGTCCACAGATAACGATCAGCTGTTTTCTATAACAAAGTACAAATTTACGGAAACGGCGATTATTGTGAGGAATTGAACGGAGCGACTGCACTGGGGGGAGCGACTGGGGGCCGTGATTGCAGCAACCGTAAATGCGTGTTTTACTGCCTTTATAAAGTATTCATGCTCTGTGGGTGATATGCTTGGAATGTCACACAACAGTGGTGTGACTGAGTTATAAAACCCCCTCCCCAAAAGGGCAAATGGAGAATAAATCTCAGGAGTCACACGGGACTTACTATTTCCACATAGCTGCTCGGTAATTTATAATGAAAATTTTTTTTTTCCAGTGTTAAAGAACTGTGCACTGTAAGAGATCCCTAAATCCACACGGCTATTATTAGAAACAGGGTAAATAACATAATATCCCTAAGTTATTCTCAGCTCTGTGTGATGACCCCTGTGGTCAAAACTGACTCCAGCTTTTCTCCAGTGAAAAGTTCATTTGATTTTTATAATAAATGTATTAAAAAAAAAAACAAAAAAAAAAAACCCAAGCTTTCACGCCGTGACATAAAAATCCCCAAATTAGCATTTAAATTAAGTCCTATTTCTGTCAATGTGAAAATGACAGAAAAAAATTATTCAAGTGTTACTCTTACTGTCTCGTCCTGGAACACCATGTATTGTGGAAGTATAATCTCCTTCACTTATTATGGCTTATTTCGTGACATGGCTGCTCCAAGTCAAAGAAACTTGTGATTTTCAGAAGTGCGTTTTGTAATTTTAGTTTGTCAAAAACAGAGAGGAGTTCTGATCTCTTAAAAGTACGTTTTGGTTTTTTCAGTGTAGGTTGACAAAAAAGTATTGTCAACCTTTTCGAACAAAGTTATAGCTTTTTTCATAACAAATTCTGAATGTCTTTCTTTCATCCACTGAACTTGTTTCTGTAATAAACAATCCCTCCTGTAGGGGTCACCATAATTATGGTTGCAGTTTAAAGTTCTTCTTTATTTCCTTAGGCTAGCTAAGTTCAGGAACCTAAATCAAATCGAAGACAGTGACGACTTGCTAAGTGAGCATTTGCAAACTTGAACTGTGGATTTGTTTTTGTTTTTTTTTCCATTTCTATCATAAAACATGGTTGTTTTTTTTTCAAAAACAGCTGTCCAATGGAACAAAGTAATTACCCGCAATAATGAATACATAGGTAATCATATTCTGTAATGATTGTCATTGCCTCCGCCAGTTTGGTAATTAAAAATACCAAACACTACATGATATTGATTATGGCTAATGTGTTTTTATTCTCTAATTGGCCGCTAATTAACAATTTCTTTGCACATGAATGAAGCCAGTGACTGTAGTGGTATCATCTGTACACAATAATGTTTGAAAGCCGGCGTTATCGCAGTAAAGAAAGCCTCACATTTTGTGATGCCGCGGCAGCAGCGGTAGAATTTATTTGCCTGTCTTTAAAATTGCTGTCTTCTTCTCTGCAGCGACACGTCCTATCACTGCATCAGCTGTGAAATTGTCCGCCCCTTGTTTTAGCTGAGAGCGCAGCAGACTGCTAGTTTATCAATCAAACTGTGCCGTGAACATTTTCAGTCACTGTAGTTTATGACCACAGAGTACGGCAGGGAGTTTAGGTTACAGAACTAGAGCAGTGTTGGTTGTAAATAATTAACAATTTGAGCAAAAAACAAAACAAAAAAAAAAACATAATTTACATATTAGTCTTGTTTATATTTTTTTATGTCATTTGATTATGTCATAGATTACGAAGACGTATTTATGTTTTTATCCTAATCCATGGTGAGATAGACAAAAAGATGTTTCCCAAAGACTGGGTCGCGACCCTTAGGAGGAGATTTTCTTTTGGGTCGTCTCGCATCATGTTTTTCAGGAATTTACAAATAATGTCTATCGACTTGGGTCGCGAAGATTTGTGATTTTTAAAATATGGGTCCCCAGAAAAAAAACGTTTGATCAACACTAGCCTAAAGGGTTTGTAAAGAGTTAATATATACGTGAATAATGTAATAACTATCGCCTCTCTACTTTGCGGTTTTTCGCAAAGTATTATTGCAGGCAGTCTTGGAACGTAACTCCAAGACATTATGTCACACTGTGACCCGGTAACAAATGACATCCGGACCACTCCCAGGCCCCTCTACCAGGGGTTGGGAACCCCGGTTGTAGAGACCAGGATTAAGAAAAATCTTTTTGTTTTCTTTAAACTTTAATCCCATCGACTTTTAATGGTCTTGTTTTGAATACTTCATGTTGAATCTGTAAAGGAACTCCAAAATAAACCTCTCCCAGGAACACATTTTTCCTTCCTCTGGCAACCAAAAGTGCCCGAAGCCCTCAGTTTATTTCGGTAGCCCCGTTGGCAATGTGCCTCCTTCTGGCAATCATTGCTCATTTCGCTCACTCATCTGCACCCCTCACATTGATCTGTGTTGCCCTGGACACCAGGTATGCAAACAGAAAACTCAGCTCTGGAGCCCAGATGGTCCACCTGGGCCGGGGAGAGGTGATGTGAGGAGCCAGGGTTTTGGAGTAACAGCGGTTCCAGGTGAACGATTTGGATCCATACACTGTTGTGTATGTGATGGATAGAAACAGGGACTCACAGTGATGAGAGCTCATGGATTCACGTCTACTATCTGTACAAAGGGAAATGAACAAACCCGCTAAAACTGTCGGACGCACGTCAAACGCCGACAAAGGTCAGTTCACTTGTTTGAAGTGCAGTGTAGTGTTCGATAAAGACGGCTGTGATGAGGATTGAGGAGCAGGCGGCCGAATCAGCATCCAGACCCGAGGTCCAGCCAGTGTTAATTGTTTATTGGGAATTTGATTATTTGCAACTTTGTTTGAGAAAATGCCACCGAAGGAGGACTTTTGTCGACCGATGAAGGTCTTTCATTAAGAAATGAAAAGGCCTCGGGCTCAGAAGGAGCTTCGCGAGACTTTGAAAATACCAGGTCTCTCCAGTGAAAGGTGTACACCAGGTGTGTCAAACATACGGCCCGTGGGCCAAAACCGGTCCGCTAGGATGTTCAAAAGGGTCCGCTTCATGAATTCTGAAAGTGGAAAAAAAAGATAATTTGTCAAACGATATTTCATTAACTATAAATATATTTTCTAATATACTTGTACTTGCATGAAAACAAGGAAGAGAAAAACATGAACTTATTGTTATTTATAGGTAATTATCTTGGGATTTTACTGGTTCGTGGCCCACTTGTATGTGGCCCACCAACCAAAATAAGTTTGACAGCCCTGGTGTACACACCGAAACCTCGAAAATAGCAATAGAGGAGTTTAAAGGGAGTTTATGACAAACAGATGGCCAGGATTAAAAAGCTGGAGAAATCAGCAAGTCAGAAAAGGAGGGTTTATGAGCTGGGCTATTTAATAGCTGGGAACACTGAGGAATAAACGGGCGAAAAATAGAATCATTTCTAACACTTTTAATTTACGGGAACACAAATCAAAATTAAGATTTTTGTATTTCTTTTTTTTCATTTTCACCTGCTGTTTCTCTTGATTCCACTGACCTTGGAGTAAAATGTATTTTTTTTTTTCTTAGTCAAGGGAGCTCCTACACATTTTATTTGTTATTCTCTAGCCCTACTCTGTACGAGCTAGTGTATGTTTTAGTGATATATATTTCACATCGTGATGTGCCGTACCGGTACACACAGGACACGCCGCAGGTGGGAGGTCGTCGGGGAAGGCGGGATCGTTAGCAGGTGTTACAGACTAATCACAAAGCCCGGTTGCTTATTACACAGAATGAGCTCTGGATCGAGGAGCACGAGTTCCCGCCGTGGTAATGAAATCCATCGCCTGTTCCATTTCTGTCCTACATACTGTGTCTGTCCTTCGGCTTCTCTCCCCCAATTACCCAAAAAGCACGGACGGAGTACAGTGCGGCTAAAGGAAACCACCGACTCTTTGAGGGTTGTAAAAATGAACGGTCAACACTCGAGACGACAATTCTTCTATTTCTGCTAGATCCGGGAAATAACGGCGTGAAACATTTTTTTTGATTGACTGTAGCGAATGTTGCATTTGATGAACCTGTGAAAATAATGAGGTGCTACGCACAAAGACTCAAGCATGGCTGTGCTCTGCATAACAATGTCTCCGCAGGAGCAACGTCGGGCTGAGTGTTGCACAGCCGGTGTCAATTGTCTTATTACATTTCTCCAGAGTTGAAATAGAAATTAGTCGGAATAAAAAAAAAGGCCCGGTTTAGCTCCTGGATAAAGTGAGAAGTAATTTTAAGTTCGGTCACTGGTTTCCTCCTTACATTTTAATGGCATTTATTGATGTCTTTAATAAGTTAAGTCTTTCAGTTTGGTAATATTGACACACACACACACACCAGACAGAGCGATCGAGAGAGTGAGTGGAAGACATCCCAGGACTTTAGTCATACTAATCCCATTGGCCGAGAGCTGGGAAGTCAATTATTCTTCATTTGTCTTTTTATCTCAGCACAGCTGTCGGGGAACACGGCTGCTCCTTCCACATCTCGGGGGTTTTATTGACACTGTCTGGCCTGAAGAGTTCACACATTACTGCGTACGCAACCAGGGATGCACAAGGGGCCGACGGGGGGGTCAGGAATTGGGGTCGCCTGAGAGAGTAGAACTAACTGCATAGAAAAATACAAAATAATAAAAAAAAATAAAAACAGCCGCAGCGGGTGACTGGGAGTGTCACCGTTTTAGAATCCCGGGGAATCCAGGGAGCGATGTGTTTTCTGTTTGGATACAGTTGTAATATTGGACCCAGCTGCGGCGCCGTGGCCTGTTTTGCATCAGCGTATTACTCAATGAAGTTGCAGCAGATTAAATTGACAGTATAATATACGACAGCCCCCGGTTCGGATCAGATTTGGCAAATAGGCCGATTTAAAATCTCGTTTGAAGAAAAGCAACTCGGACCACATTTGTCCATCAAAAAAACAAAAAACAGTCACAGCCAATATGTCAAAAGTTAACAGAAACGTCTGAAGGTTAAATTTGTCTAAATGTGTTGGTTAATGTTCAGAACGAACAACATGAGGAAATGTAATTTTGCCGCAGATTTGAATTCACCAATTTTCTTCTTGTGTTTTTCTTCGTAGCTAGCTGTAAAAAAAAAAAAGCTTTCTTCTTTCTTTAATTCCTTGGTTTTGTCTATTTTTATTGCCTTTTTGGGACGTTGTTATTTAAAAATAAGAACTGCATCTGATCCCTGTGTCCTCAGTACTTTAATAGCATCACATCTCAACAATGCTAACACTTCCCGCACTGTCGCTAGCTGAAGACGTAGTGTTCCCAAGTCAGTTTACGCTGCTATTTCCTGATTATTCCGACCAACTGGAAGTATTATATATATATATATATTTATATAGTCTGAATTGGTTAATTCATTCAATCGCTCACAGGTCGCAGGACCTGGACTAAGATAGTCAGGGAGCACGGAAGGACATCTTTCCGTGAAAACCAAGTTGACATTTCTTTGGTCCGTGTCCACGTCAAAATGGTGACAGATGAGCTCTCTGTTTGAACTTCCCGGGCATGATGTCACTGTTGGTTTGAATTCAATAAAGTGGATAATCGTGCATGTGTTATCCATAGTAAACCTTGGCGAGGTGAACGCTTCTTATCCACTCGATTCCATTCTTTTTAATGACAAATTAAATACTTTGTCGATCGTCTTTGTTGACATGGCACCATCAGACGTGTGTTTTAACTTTCCATTTCAGATCCTCTTATATGCTGTATTCTTCTTTCTTTTTTTTTTTTTTTCTTCCACTTCACTGTTATACTTGGTAGGCTCTTGTCCCCGTCTCACTCCCTGTCATCGAGTTGTCAAGAGCCCCGAGGTTCGTACACACACACACACTCACACACACACCAACAGTTGTGTTGGTAGCTGATTGGACCTCTGTAAAGAGGACGATTAGACCTGTGTGTGTGTGTGTGTGACACTGACACCACTGGTGAAAACGATATCACAGCTGTCATACAGACTCAGACTTACACAGTCAGTGTGAAAATATGTTGATTAAAGCATCAAAAGCATTGTTTCCCAAACACTGGGTCGCGACCCTCAGGTGGGTCACAAGAGATTTTTTTGGGGGGGGTCTTTTTGCATCGTGTTTCCCAGGAGTTTACGAATATTGTCTATCGACTTGGGTCGCGTAGGTTGGACTCGTGCTCAGCTCCAGCTCCTTTGTCGTAGCCTACAGGATGTCAATAAATAAGTCAATCGGCCGTGGCGGAGCCATCTGTGAGTAAACCTTTACAATTTCCGAGCAAGAACTGCATCGGTTCCATTTCAAATAAACAGTGTAGACGTTGGTTACGTTTAGGATTTGTTCCGTCGTCCGGATGCGGACGTGAAAAAATGCAGCCAGTCTCAGTGGGTGAGCAAAGATATGTCACGGTGGCCTTGGGCTGATAATGAGCTTTTTAAAAATAATGCTGTCTCGGTTCATTTCAAACCTGCCCTGGTTAACCTTTGGATGTCGCACACACAGCACAATTGTATGTAAGATTTAATAAAGCGGAATGTCAATAAGAAATGGGCTGAACCCCTGCAGGTCAGCGTGTCAGATCTATTTTCTTAATGTTGCATAATTCTGGAGCATTTCCTGTTGATTTTCCATTCTTTTTTTTTTCTCAGACCCAAAAGGCTAGTTAAAAGGGGAAATATGCTGACAGAGAGCCAGAATTGTTATTGCAGCAGAGAAAGGAAAGAGAGAGAGAGAGAGAGAGAGAGGCATCCTGCTCTGAAACGCCTCTTTGATCCTTCAGTACAACCTGAGATGAAATGTCGGGCCTTTCATCTCCAGAATTCGAGAGAAATACAAAAAGAGAGTCTATTTTGGAAAGGGATTGAAAATACTACTGATGACAAAGCACTGTTTTTGTCTTTCTACTCAAAGTACACACACACACACACACACGCGCGCTCAATTTGCATTTCTTACACTGTTGTCCCTAAAAGACGTTCTTTGTACATAAATATATCTTACAAATATTTGGAAAAGCAGCGGTTGCATTCTCATTTGGGATTTGTCCCCACGGAGGAGCACAAACTGACATTAAAGCCCAG